TGTTATAATAGTTAGATGCATTTCACTATATGCATTCCACTATATAGAGCCCATATTACTACTCTCAAACACTAACTTATGCTTTTTCTCTTCTATATAAAGGATGCATTTCCTTCATTTGTACACACACAATTCATAACTTCAATAATAAGAAGTAGCAAACCTTCCTTCTTTCTCAATCTTCATTTCATCAGTATCCCGTTCTTTACCAGGTATAATATTTTTGTTCTTATTAATATTTATCAAAATGATAAATTATATCATTCTTTTTATAACAGTTATTCATTTGTTGGATAATTATGAAAAAGGTGGTTAAGGAAATGACAGGAGGAGGAGTCTACTATAGTTTCGTATGCGTTGGTTTAAATTCTTCAATTAGCGTCGTCAGCACCCGCACGGTACGTTTGGGTTCGAATAGAAACGGTATGGAACAGGACATGACAAATGTGATATATACGAAATAGTAACAAAATTCTATATAAACACGTATGTTATATATAATTTTCTTACTATCCACATTCTTCTTACACCATTCTACACTGTTCTAATTTGGTTTAACGTCTTTTATTGAAATGGTATTCTCAGTCAATTTAATATCATTCCAATAATTGAAAAAAGATATATTTTGTTTTTAATGGTTTGAAAAAACAGGGTACCGGAAAGACGGTAGTGTTGGGGATAGATAAGTATCTAGCACCAACAAGTTTGGATAGTTTTGATCTTTTCAGAGGCAAAAGTGTTTGTGGAGGCTTGTTTGGTGGTTTGAAACCTAAACTAGATATTCCGATTCTCCTCGATCATTACTTAAAAAAGGTATATATTAATCTATTTATTTGATTACTATATTTGTATGGTGCTTCTTTACAGCTTACTTTTTTTTTTTACAATTATAGGAGCTTAATCTGGATAGTTTTATTACACATAAATTGAAGTTTGAACAAATCAACAACGCTTTTAATATAGGGGTTTTTTTTGAAAAATACACCGATTAAATTTGAGAATTTGAAAAATACATTTTTTTTTTAAAAAATACCTCTTTTCATAATTGAAAAGACTTTTTTAATCCATATTTGATTTTAATACTAATTAATTCGTTTATATAATTATTATTAATATTAATTTTCGTTTTATTTAAGATAAAGTTGAATTATTGATTA